TGGGGGCAGGCTGATCGAGCGGTAGTTGTTATAGTTACCCCTTGTCTCCTTGATACTCTTTCAAATTCATAACTTTTCAATTTCGAAGCGTTATATGTTAATTTTCCAGTTTAATATACTCAAATAAAGTAACTCCTAATTTTGTTATAATTATAAAAACAAATTATAAGTTATTTTCAAATAATTCACATCTCTCAAAATATCCTTAGTCACAGTTGACCCCGGATAACCTCCGCCGATATCTAACAAAGTCATCTTCACTCCAATTCTCGAAACTTCGGTGAAGACTCGACTTGCCGCTTCAATTGCATATGTAAAGCACGTGGGATCCGTACATGCATAACCAACATGAAATCTGGAAGAAAATAAACACCGTACTGCTTCACTTCTCTACCAGATGTAACCTTTTCATTCAATTATGTGTATAACGATTTTACATTTGTCGTCACTTCCTGTTTCGTTCAACGCCGCCATATTGGACATCAAATATTTCCTTCTAGCAACACATATTAATGGACGATTTGGTAGAGTTTTACATAGTGTCAAGTGTGTAAACATCTTCTAACAACCCATATTAATAGTAGAGTTTTACATAGTGTCAATTGTGTAAACATCTTCTAACAACCCATATTAATGGACGATTTGGTAGAGTTTTACATAGTATCAAGTGTGTAAACATCTTCTAGCAACCCATATTAATGGACGATTTGGTAGAGTTTTACATAGTGTCAAGTGTGTAAACATCTTCTAACAACCCATATTAATGGAAGATTTGGTAGAGTTTTACATAGTGATGTTTACACAATTGACGCCTTTGACCAAACATACAGATCTATAACTAGGGCTATTCAATTTCTTTATAAATATATTATTTACGCAGATCGTCGAGATTACTTATAACGTCAGATAACACGACATCATTACACAAATTTGTCACTCTTTTATCCAAGATGACTTTAAGCACTTGACTTCCAATATGGCGGTGTAAATACAGACCACGTGACTTCTTGACGTCAGTGCAAAACCTTTATTACATCAGGGAACCAGTTTACTCTTTATATAGAAACTCTGTACTAAATCAGGCGAACTAAAGCAATGTAAAAATAGGAAGATACATACTAGCATCACTTACTTATCTATTAATGTTGAAACATTCAGCTTGATATGTTGTGCCAAACTTACGTGCCGTGTTAAAAACAATCCAAATTAATCTTAAAGAAGAAATAGGTAAGATTAACAGCTTACTAATTGCTAGCAATCTACGATTTTACTTACCAACCAGTGATAAATTTCATTGTAATATTTCACGTGCTTAAATATAGATCTAGTCATCCTATAAAATAAATAGTTATCATCCGCTCAGTGAAATGGTGAACTACTTTCTTCAACAGATAACAAAGTACAATTTTAGTGTAAAGTTGGCCTATACAGTGTCTCCCAGTTTCAAATGTAGACATTGATAGGCTATACAGTGTCTCCCAGTTTCAAATGTAGACATTGATAGGCTGTGAAATTTCATACAGGCAAAACTCAAATGATGGCAAACACGTTGACATGAAAAATAATCGCTAGGGGGCGCTGCATGTCTGTTCTGTCTATGGGTAACTTAAGAGCAGTAGCAACATTATTTTTGGGGTTTCTCCAGACAGAACGTCACCCCACGGTAGAATTGCACCAGTAAAGCTTTATTACACAACTATATAGTACGGTTCTGAATTGTTATGGATGAAACTAATGCCTGCAATGGGCAACATAACCATAAAACTATTCAGAAACTGATAAATGTTTAACCGGACTGGTTGTCGATGCACATTAGAATGGTCGACTTCCAACACCAGTTGATATTGTTATTAGGCACTCAATGTTATAGATACAAGTGTACATGGAGAATACAGCACAAATATAATAAAAAAAAATATGGAATACCACAAATAATGGCCTTGGAGGAGGGGGTCATACATAAAATGTTGAATCTGTACTCAAAGAGCTCATGCACTGGAACCAGGAGATTAAAATTCACAATTAAATTTTACACATGGATTTCTGGTCAGAGCAATTGTCAACTCTTGCCAACATGGTGAGCTTTAAAGATGGCATCCTGCACACGTTGGACATCAGACACTTGTATCAGCAATGTATCACATCTTCTCAAGAATGGAAACAGTTGTGGACAACAATGGTGGCCACATCAAGGCATCCTGCACACGTTGGACATCAGACAGTTTCATCAACCTTGTATCACGTCCTCTCAGGAATGGAAACAGTTGTGGACAACAATGGTGGCCACATCAAGGCATCCTGCACACTTTGGACATCAGACAGTTTCATCAGCGTTGTATCACATCCTCTCAAGAATGGAAACAGTTGTGGACAACAATGGTGGCCACATCAAGGCATCCTGCACACGTTGGACATCAGACAGTTTCAACAGCGTTGTATCACATCCTCTCAAGAATGGAAACAGTTGTGGACAACAATGGTGGCCTCACATTAAACATCACTTGCAGTCATATTTATATGTATAATAGAATCAGTAGCGCCCCCTAATCACAAATTATTTTCTTCGTCGCCTGATTACTGTTTGTGCGATATTTTACAACTTACTCATGACCACATTTGGTGTTACAAGACCTAGAATAGGCCAACTAACCCCGTAAACAAGACGTTTCTGAATTATGATCTAAGAATATTTACCAGCGTCTAAAATGTATAAATATTTTTATTATGATATTTACCGGAAAGATTTAGTTTTGAATTTATCGAATTGAACCAATATTATTCGTGAGCACAAAGTAACAAATAAATAATATTGTACTTACGATACTCCCTCTACAGTCAACTTAAGGTCACGTGCCTTCCGCACCAGACGACAAGCTTCCTCAACACTACAACCAAACTTGTTACCAAGTGACTCGTAAACGTTTGATTCACAAACTGGCCGGATCCTCACGACAAGCCTAGGGGATATTTCACGTGATATATATATAATATTTTCTAGACAGGTCTTAAAAAATATACAAAATTACCCCACGTACTACTGATTCGCCGTATAGGGTACGGTCCGCGTCCGCAAAAATTCATCAGATTAGCAGATGATAACAAGTTATAAATTTAGTTAAAACGTTATTAGAGCACGTTTTTCACTAATAATGGGTTATGGTCCTTTATCATGTAAGTAGCTCAGTGTGTTATTACTTTCTGATCAACGCTAAAGCTTATATCACAAATCTTTACTGATTAGTGCTAACAATTAAACGGACATTGTTATTGCACATTTTTGGTTGGTAATGGGCATGTTAAGATTATGGTGCTTAACAATATTAGTGATGTTACATTCCTGAACCTCACCTTGCTTCCGGATCACACTCACTAATCTTCAACAACTCTTTGTAACAATCAAACGTCATCAGGTGGACGCCGACGGACGCAGCATGTCTTATGTGCGATCGGAATTTGACGGGATTTGCATAAATGATCTTGGAGGGATCAATTTCCAAGTCCATAAGTTGGTCAATTTCTCCCTTTCGATCAAATGAAAATGAAAGTTTAGATATCAATACGTTTAATAAATAGAAACAAAAGGCAGATCTGAAATTTTATTTTTACAATTTACTCTTGCGAAAAGTACTCCAGTACTTCGAACAGTTGATAATTTCTGAGTGTTATCTGAATCTAGCAAAAATTAATATTACAAAAATAGGGAGACATTTATTAGAAACAACGGCGTTAAAACACAATATTAACTACAAGAGTACATAGATTGTATTTCCTGTAGTTAACACAATATTAACTACAAGAGTACATAGATTGTATTTCCTGTAGTTAACACAATATTAACTACAAGAGTACATAGATTGTATTTCCTGTAATTAACACAGTATTAACTACAAGAGTACATAGATTGTATTTCCTGTAGTTAACACAATATTAACTAC